TATAGTCCAAATAGTTAGTTGTTTCACCCTAACCTTTGAATACAATCCCTAAACCATGTGTTTCCAAATTTTAATCTATGTTGCAAATAAGTGAAAACTATAACTTTTGTCGGAAAGGATGTACAACAGTTGGATGATGATAAAAGATACGTAATTCCATTGTTGAGTATTTTTGTTTATTTGTTGTCCATTCCTACGTTAATCTTTGCTTGACTTGTAGGGTTCAAAAGATGGACAAGAGTTAGATGATGATAAAAGATAGGTTGAAAAGTAAAGAGTACCAACAAGGTGTTAAGTCATTTATTGACTTTGCTATGAAGGATTTAGGCCCACACGATGACATTCGTTGTTCGTGTGTTGATTGCTTGAATGGCACAAAACATAGTTGACAAGTTGTATGGCTGCACTTGATTCGAAAAGGAATCGCGTGTTCTTATAGAACTTCGGTGCACCATGAGGAACATGTTCTATTGTGTCATGATCAGCCTAGTGTGTCAAACGATGATGGTGAAAAAGATGGAGCTGCAAATTTTGACATTGACGATAATTTGGGCGAGTTGCCTATTATATTGGAAGAGATTTACATGAATGGCCTCATGGATGATCATATTGACGAAGAACCTAATAGCTCGGAGAGAGAAAATTTAGTGAAGTTCATTAGGTTGTTTGATGATGCTCGATGCAAAGTGTACCCGAAGTGTGAAAAGCTCTCCATGTTGTCCTTCATTATTAAGATGCTTCATATTAAGGTGTACAATAAATGGAGTAACAAATCTTTCGATATGGTTATGCAAATTTTCAAAGACATTCTCTCAAAGTGTGATGAAACTGTTCCATGGACCCTTCATGAAGCGAAAAAGTTCTTACGTGAATTGGGTTTCGGATACGAGGCCATTCATGCATGCAAGAATGATTGTATTTTGTTTTGGAAGGACAACGCAAAACTGGAGAATTGCCCTACATGTAAGGAGTCTAGATACAAGTTCAACAATGCGAGTGGTAAAAAGATTCCTCACAAAATATTGAGGTATTTTCCTTTGACACCGACGTTGAAGAGATTGTACATGGCGAAAAAAACCGCCACAGATATGAGATGGCACAAAGAGAAGAGTATGGGTGATGGAATGTTAAGGCATCCAGCTGATGGTCAAGCATGGAAGGACTTTGATATGCAGCTGTAGACGCGCCTGTGGGCCTCACGCTACAGTTTAGACTCGAATTGTCACGGTTCTAAATCTCAACCAAAGAGTCCAAATCCGGCAAATCTTTTTTGAAAACAGATTTTTTTTTGTAAAGAAGTGCCAAACATGGACTGCTTTTCTAGATATAGAGTCGCCACCTAAATATTTTTTATGAGGGAATTTAGGAAACCCTGACTCGTTTTCCTAAGGCCACGTGTCCGTCATCACCAAAGTTGCCTCGGCTCGGGAACTTGGGTACGATTGGGGAAGGTCAGCTATGAGCACCCCCGCTCGCCCGATCCGAAGATTGGCCTCTACTAACCATAATATCTAGTTTTGAAAACGTTATGCGTTCTTATTCCGATTCATTAGCTAATCTTACTATGTGATGCGCACAACACAAAAGTATAGATTAGATTGCCTAATTTGGAACAAAGCATTGCATATCCGTTTGTTCGAAAAATGGTTTGAAATTTGCTACTCGCAAGTAGGCTAAAATACGGATTTCAACAAGTCGTTCCAACTTAAGCAATCCAACCTTCACCCACAGGCATTCAGGCAGTAATATCACATAAGCAAATAGCCTCATAGTAAGCATGCTATCATGGCAGTCACTCACACACATGCAAGGATGCTAAAGCATAAAAGCTTACCTAGTACTCCGAGCCAAAACAAAAGCTAGTTAGTAATCAAATGTATGATCCTAGCTCATCTTAAGATGGCTAATGCAACGCATGCAAAATGCAACTAGAAATAGGCTCGGCTATTCTAAGATGGCATATGAAATGCAACAGATAGCATGGATTCAACTTTGGAATGGAAAATACAATGCAGTTAGTATGATGCGCCGAGCCCGGTGCATGCAATACAGATGAATGATGCAAACATGCGAGCATAAGGATGCTAATTGAAATATGCCCTAGCACTAACCATCAAAAGCAGGTAAGTAAAAGGGAGAAAGAAATGGAGGTTGGAAGACATGCATCACACACACACACGCTTATTACACAATTGCTCTCGCTCGAGGGTCCGAATAAATAATACAGTCCAAATAAATAATTAATCTATTCTAGCTAATTAAATATTATAAAACTTCTAATTAATTAACAAATTAATTATAAAAAGAAAGTGGCCGTAGCCCTGCCTCAGAATGCGTGGATGATGCATGCTTGACTCATCTTGCTCGGAAACTCACTGCCATGTCAAAAGCTGCCTCTGTTTACACTACCTTGCTCTTCTGAAATTTATGTAGGTTTCCAGGACTGCTTTGAGCTTCCTCCTGAGTGTTGTGGAGTGCCACCAGCCACAACTCAAGTCCACCGGCCATGGAAATATGATTATCGGCCAAATATTGAACCACCGGTTGGCCATTTATTCCTGCAGAACCCTATTTTGACAGCAGCAGAGGACAGACAGTGCATGGCATGGAAATTTCAAAGCAGTGTGTGCATGGCCACTCTCCCAATCATGCTATGGACTCAAGGGAATGTAGCCCTTGATCCTCGGGCCACCAATCACGCATTCCAATGCATGATGGCCAAAGGCACCAAGTTTGCAAATCAATGTGAATGCATGCAACAAAACAAATGAGTGCCTTATGCCCTATCATGTGGAGATCAAGGGCGTCGGCGACTGAGGATTGAGGCGCGTTGCATCACTTTGGGTACGAACGCACCTCATCCCTCATGCTTGGTTTGACACCCCAAACCAAGCATAATGATATGCATGTATGCCATATGCAATACAAGGCAATGCAACTAATGCAATGCAATATGAGCATGCTAACTCAATGCAATGTAATACTACCTAAACATGCGAGCTAAACCAATGCAACATGAACATGTTAAGCATGCAACAAGGATATGAAATGCAACTAGCTAAACAACATGCAATTTACTAAGCATGCAACCATGATGTAATGACCCCAAAATGCGTATAGAAAGTCATCCTTATTTAATTAGGGGTTAATGTTACTACAAGAAAACACATTTTTGGCAACCAGTTTTGGCTACCAAAACAAATTTAGTCGCCAAAAGTGTGGGAATTGGCTACCAAAATTAATTTTAGTCAGCAAAAGTCAACTTTTTAGCTACTAATTTTTCTTAGTAGGGGAATGTTGATTATTGGAAACTAAAATAAATTTGGTAGCTAAAAATACTACAATTGGCCACTAAAAAAATTTTGAGTAGCTAAACATATCTGCATTAGCGACTAATTTTACTTTTAGTAGCTGTAGACGCACCTTTACCTACTAAATTGTTTGGTAGCCGAAGGGAAATAAAAAAATTTATTTTTGATCTTTCGACCAAACTTTTGGTCGCCAAAACTATCTTTTCAGCGACAAAATCCATTTTAGTCGCTGTAGACCTACTTTTGGCTACTAAATTGTTTGGTAGCCGAAGGGAAATAAAAAATTTTATTTTTGATCTTTGGCGACCAAACTTTTGGTCGCCAAAATTATCTTTTCAGCGACAAAATCCATTTTAGTCGCTATAGACCTACTTTTGCCTACTAAATTGTCTGGTAGCCGAAGGGAAATAAAAAAAATTATTTTTGACATTTTCAAAAAAATTATTAAACAAAATAGTTATTTTATTTTTATTTTTATGAAAAGGTTGTCAAATCTTAACAACAATGACATTTTATCCATGGAATTTGACTTTTTTTTTTTTAAATGAGAAAAATAAAATTGAAAGAAACTTCCTTTTTAAAAATAAAAATGAAAATGAAACATGCTTATTATGTAAATAAAAATGAATTCCCATTAGTAGTAGGTATATGAATAAAACAATCAGATTTATTGAATTAAGTGGTAAAAGCCATGGCCAGTTGGCTTTATTAGGCTATCCTAGAATCCAAATGGTTTATCATCTTCTAAAATTAATTTAAGGTTTACTTTAATATAATAAACTAGTAACAACTGCATAATAAATTAATTAAATCCACTTGACACGTGATTTCTTCATCTGTCTTTATTTACGACAAAATATACATATTGTATGTTCTAAATTTCTAAATCAAATTGATTAGTGCCTAGTTAGTCATGCAGGAGTCCCCAAAAAAAATTAAGTATATTTTACAATATCTATATAATAAGACAGAACGGTTTTTGAAAATATGTTAGAGACAATTGTCCTACTAAGACATTTCAATTTGGCGACCAAACTTTTGGTCGCCAAAAATTATTAAACAAAATAGTTATTTTATTTTCATTTTTATGCAAAGGTTGTCAAATCTTAACAACAATGACATTTTATCCGGATCCATGGAATTTGACTTTTTTTTTTTTAAATGAGAACAATAAAATTTAAAGAAACTTCTTTTTTAAAAATAAAAATGAAAATGAAAATGAAACATGCTTATTAATTAAATAAAAATGAATTCCCATTAGTAGTAGGTATGCCAGTTGGCTTTATAGATTTATTGAATTAAGTGGTAAAAGCCAGTTGGCTTTATTAGGCTATCATCTTCTAAATTAATTTAAGGTTTACTTTAATATAATAAACTAGTAACAACTGCATAATAAATTAATTAAATCCACTTGACACGTGATTTCTTCATCTGTCTTTATTTACAACAAAATATACATATTGCATGTTCTAAATTTCTAAATCAAATTGATTAGTGCCTAGTTAGTCATGCAGGAGTCCCCAAAAAAAATTAAGTATATTTTACAATATCGATATAATAAGACAAAACGGTTTTTGAAAATATGTTAGAGACAATTGTCCTACTAAGACATTTCAATGACTATGATTCATTTGTCTATTTAAATAGATGGTTGAGATGACCCCCTTAAATATATATCAATCCCCTTCCAGCACCACTGTTACATATCTGTTCTGTTTGGGAAGTTCAACCTAATGAAGTAATGATGGTTGGGGATAACCTTAAAGATGATGTGAGTTCTGCTCTATTTCTCTCTCCATCATTTGCACCATATTTGTTAAGAACATTTCTGATTCATTTTGAGGTGCTGTTTTTGTATATATGTATTTTTTAATTTCACATTCTTTTATCAAATTTGTTTGAATCAAAACATGCTTTTGTGTAAATTAAAGCTCCTTTACTTGGTCTTCACAGGTTGCTTGTGGGAAACGAGCGGGAGCATTTACATGCTTGCTTGACGAAACAGGGAGGTATGATTCTCCCGAATACACAGATGTGGAATTTCAGCCAGATTACAATGTGTCTTGTCTTGCCCATGTTCATTCACTACTGGAAGCAAATTTTGACCTGACACCATGATCCACAATTTCCTTGACAATAAAATTTTGCATTGTTAAATTGAGTAGCATTGAGATTCTCAGACCATTTATTAGTTGGTGGATACACCTATTTTTCATCCTGTGAAGAATTCATAGGAGAAGCTTTGTTGTATATCTATATGTAATACTTTTGACCCATTTTATAATGCGATTTCTTTCTCCCTTTGGTGCAATGCAATGCATATTTTAAAATTACAATGAAGTTTATATGTTTATTTTTGACTAAATGATGAAATAATGTGGCTACGATTATTTTGATTCTTTTTATGTTTGATTTATGATTTATACATAGGGATTTACAAAATGAACAATTTAGATCACTTGAGTGAGACTTGAGGTGAGGCTTATAGCAAGACTGCATGCCTGATCCACTTTTATAGACTAGAGGCAATCCTGATGATAATTGACCTTAATTTTGATGATGACAGTTTGAATTAAAGAAGATAATAAGTCAATTTTCTTTAATCTCAAATATTCTTATATTTGAATTCACTCCGTCCGTTGCACCACCACATAACTTAGGCACAATGCAGTTTACTGATTACATAAAATATTCAAAATCTGTAACATTAGTGTCTCCCTTCATCGGTAGAAAGAGTTCATGCAGCATTTCATAAATCCTCTCATAACAAGGGTGGATTTTATCAGCAACATAACAGTTGTGAGTTTCACTATTAATATATCTCTGCAAATGTGTGTGTATATGTATGAGGAATTTGGGGATCCTAGAGAAGAGAAAAAAAGAAGAAAAATGAAAATCATGTGTCTCTGGAAATGTATATATATATATATATGTATATATCAATCGACCTATGTATTGGAAAGAAGTGAATTACAGAGTTGGGAAGACAAAAGCAGACAAGATCTTGATCACAGTTGACCGTTTCAAATCTGGGACCAATTTGAAGACTTCCCTGTGTTTGATTTTGTGTTTGATTTCTTTTATTTTTTTATTAGTCCTGTGGAAGAAAAAAAAACTTCTCAATCTCATCTCTATTCTAATTCATACCCCCCAAAAAAAAATTTAAAATAAATAAATAAATTTTGACAATAATGCGGTAATATGATTATTATAAATAAATTTGTTTTTTATATTAATTTATTTTAAAATAAGAAATTCACAATAAATTTTTCTATTTGTATAGTATTAGTCTTTTAAAAAAATATTTACAATATTGAATTATAGGGAAAATTTTGAAATTATGTATTTGCAAAAATTTTGAAATTTTGAAATTTTGAAATTATGTATTTTGAAAAAAATATTAGGACAAATATTTAAGATAATTTAATATTTATAATTTATAATTTTATTACTTATATTTTTATTTAAATATAATTTTAATATATTTGTTATGTTACGGTTCGATTTGCTCACCGGTTCGATTTTTAAAACATTAATATTACAAACTTTGTAACATTTACTTCTATTTTCTTTTAAGATAATCAATTAATATTTTAATTTTATTTTTCTATCGCATGAACCATTGGGGAACATCTAAAAAAACACCTATTTTAAGATAATTCATTTTTTCGAGCCGAATCTAACAAATATATATGTTTTAAAAATTCAAAATAAGCAACAAATATTTACTATTTTTTTTGTTATTTTTTTATCTTTACTGAATTTTTTTTGAAATTTTAGAAAAAAATTATAATTTTTCGATTTGTTTTGTCGAATGAAAACAAAAAATAAAAAAAGAAATAAAAAAAATTTCACGTTTTTACCTTTCGCGACCAAAATTGTTGGCAGCCAAAAGTGTGTTTTAGAAATAATTTGTTTCGGCGACTAATTGGATTTTCGTCGCCAATTAATGCACTTTCACCGACTATGTTTTTGGTAGCCAAACGTGCCACGAAATTGTGGAGGGAATATTACTTTTTCTTCTATTTGCATTGCAAAAGTATCCCAGTTCCCTCCCTCTCGCACTCCCGCCTCTATCACTGCTCTATCTCCATCGCAAGAGTTGTTGTATCATCCCCCGCACTCCCTCCCAGGTATCTCTCTCTCTCTCTCTCTGTATCTCCCTCTCCATTTCTTAAACATCTCACATGGCCTTTTGGTTTCCCTCTTTCTCTCTCTCTCTCTCTCTCTCTGTTTACACATGCACACACGAATCATATATTCACAACCTTGATTCCATATATACTCGATTATATACACAAATCATATGTACACTCACGCCTCTGCCCTCCCTCTTCTGTACAGGAATAGTCCTCCATCGCCCGAACCCCCCGAACTGGATCATTCCCGCAAACTCCTCCCAGGTATGTTGAATTTCGCATCTGTCTCTCCCTCTCCCGTATCTCCCTCTCCTGATTTGCCTCAGTTTCTATCTGTCCTGTTACACACACACACACATACATACATACATATATATAATATGACATATATGTTAGTGTACACAAAGTCCATGAATTATGAAGTACAGAAAATGCCCTCATTAATGGCTATTGTTATATAATAGTTGATTCGAAATTAAAAATTAGTGGGCCCCCCCAAAAAAAAATGGCCTTTTGGGGGGGGGGTGAAAATCAACGCCATTTGCTACCTTAAACTAGGGCAAAGTCTTGTAGTAGTTATACATTATAAAAGAGAATTTTTATGGTTTTGAAGTAAATATATACTAGCGGCTCGTTGC